CACCCATCCATCCACCCACCATCCACCCATCCATGCACCCACCACCCACCCATCCATCCATCCATCCACCCATCCACCTACCCACTCATCCATCCACCCATCCATCCACCCACCATCCACCCATTTATGCACCCACCACCCACCCATCCAACCATCCACCCATCCATCCACCCATTCATGCACCCACCACCCACCCATCCATCCATTCATCCACCCATCCATCCACCCACCATCCACCCATTCATGCACCCACCACCCACCCATCCATCCATCCATCCATCCATCCATCCACCCATCCATCCATCCACCCACCCACCCATCCACCCACATGCCCATCCATCCATCCACCCATTCATGCACCCTCCCCGCTTCCTCCCTCTCTCCCCTCTTCCTGCCATCCATCCATCTGTTCATCTGTTCATTCATCCACCCTCTTTGTCTTGAGAAAGAGAAAACCAAGGTGTCCCACTGCAGCCCTATAATGCTGTCACTGACCACCCCCCACCCCGAGAAGTGGGTAACAACCTCCCACTCAATGGGGCTTGGTCTCGGGCTCATGGTCCCTGAAACCCACACCTAAGGGCCTCTGGTCACACCGGTAGGTCCCCAGGGCCAGGTCTGCCTCTCTCACTGCCTATAGGGGCTCAGGCCCCTCAAGTAACTGCCCACATCATAAGTCTCCCTTCTGCCTCCATACTGCCCTGCACTGGGCACCTGACCCACCTTCAGATCTCAGCCAATGCCTGGGCCCCAGGAGGACCCAGCCACCTCAACCCCGCAAATGACCCTGTGTGGTGCCCCCCCGTCCCAGAACAGACACCACTGCCTTTCCTGTGAGGCTTCCTCCCCACTACACCAAGCTCACTGGAGCACAACCCACCTACCCCGAGCCTCACAAGGACACAGCAGCCCCAGCTTCGCCCCACAGGCCAGCCCCCAAGGTGTCTGCAGACCCTCTGCCCACAGACAGGAGGGTGAGATTACCCACCTTGCCTTTCTTGGGAGGCTCGATCTTGGTCAGCGCCTCCTTGGTGTGGGCCTCCAGCAGGTCCAGGTTGGGGATGGTGGGTGAGGCTGCCCCCCTGCACTTTTTCCCTTTCTTCTTGCCCCCATCCTTGAGCTTCAGTGATTTGGGGGGCTTCGGGGGCTTGGGGGGCTTGGGGGGTTTGGGAACTTTGGATGGCTTGGGCATCTTCACGGTTTTGGGAGTCTTTTTTTTGGATACTTTCTCCAGGAAGGACCGAGGAGGACTGGCCTCAATAGGAGATGGGGGCTCCTCTTTCTCCCGGTCCCCAAAACAGACTTCATCTGAGGAGATGGCCGGGGTCACTTCGGGTCGGGCGGCCTTGGAGGCATTCTAGGGAAAGGAGAAGGAAAGGTGGCCAACCGCCTCCTGCCAGGAGGGCCTCAACCCAGGCTGTGGGAGACACTCCAGCAGAAAGGACCTCTGCCTACACCATCATACAACACATCCGTCTACACCACCCATGGGACATGCTGACATCTATCCTACAGCATCGTGTGACACGCTCACATCTGTCAACACTGTGACACATTCACATCCTACACCATTGTGTGACACACTCACGTCTATCTATACCGTCGTGTGACACACATCTATCCTACACATCCTCGACAGATGTGAGCATGTCACACGGATGCTGTAGGATAGATGTGATGGTCACACGATGGTGCAGACAGATGTGACACACATCCTATCACACAGCATCCGTGTGACACGCTCACATCTGTCTACGCCGTCGTGTGATACACTCACATTTGTCTACACTATCATACAACACATCCGTCTACACCACTGGGACATGCTGACATCTATCCTACGGCATCGTGTGACACGCTCACATCTGTCTACACCATTCTGTGACACACAGTTGTCCTAGAGCATCCATGCAACATGCTCACATCCATCTACACCACTGTGTGACACATTCATCTGCAGTACCCGAGTGACAAGGTGCCATTCGTCTACACCATCAGCCATCTGACCCCTCTATCTCCTTGGTGGGGACTGCCATCCTATCCTGCAGCACGGAGAGGCTGGGGGCAGTCCAAGTTCACACAAGCAGGGTCTCCAGCGGCTGGAATTGTCCTCCCTCCAGACCCCTCCCCACCCACGTGGGGAGCTCCGGCCAGGAGGCCACGGGCAGCCACAGGTGCCGCGGAGTCCCCCTCATGCCGGTGACCCTGCCTCAGAGGGCCGGGGGAGGAGCCGTCTCAGACACGGCTGACCCTGGCAGACATCTGTGGGGAGGGCCAGGCCAGGCAGGCAGAGGGTTCCCCAGCCAGGGCTGGCGGCCCCCCGGCTCAGTCCTACCTCGCTGAGGCGGATCTCTTTGGCGAGGTCTTTGATGAGCTGGGAAGGTTTGAAGTGCTCTGGGAGCTCGTCCTCATGCTCCGCCAAAGCCTGAAGGGCAGCACACGCAGGGCCGGCGGTCAGCTGCCCAGTCCGGGTGCCGACGTCCACCTGTCCAGGCCACGCTGCCCCACCCCCTTCCCACCCAGAGAGTCCCCGAGCAGGCTTGACCGCCGAAGATCCTGCTTCACCCACACTGTCCCTCCAAGTCATCTCCTGCCTACCAACCCAGGACCCCGGCAGCCCAGACAAGCACTGGGGAAGGGCTGACGCAGGCAAGGACTGGCTCCCCGAACGAGTCAGCCCCCAGCCAGACTCATAAGAGGGCTCTGCCACCACCCCTCTCCACAGGGGGAGGAACAGGGTCCCAGAGAGGACGAGGTGTCCAAGGCCACCACCAGCTGGGCAGTGGATGCGGGCCATCCCGTCTTCCTGGGCATAAGGCTGCTATCTCTGGACTTGTGGCTGAGGTGAGGTGGGAGGGATACCAGACACGGTTCCAGGCCTTGAGGCCAGAGATGTGGCTGTAGGACAACCCTGGGA